GCTGGCCGGTACTAGGCTATATGGAAACGCCACCAAAAACCGGCCTGGCCGCTTGAGGACGGTTAAGGACGCTTAAACGGGGCTACCCGCTGCAGTGGAAACGCGCCATTAGATGACAATATGATACCAATCATGGAAAATGCTACTTTATAAAGCTAAACTCAGCATTCGGTTAGCTTAGCAAAAGTGGATTTGACCAAAGGTAGTATACTGCACAATGGCCCTTTTGTGAGTGCTACTATTTTAAATAAATGAAAACAAAAAATATGATTATAAATACGAATTATGACTTTATGATTATAAATATTATATTTGTATAATAGTTATTGAAATTGAAATGATTATTTAACATTATTTTGATCAACAACTATTATATTCCTGTTTGTTATCAAAATATATTAAATATTATAATTTCTTAACATGGAAAATACATGAAAAAGATGTTGGGGGGCGTTGGCTGACTCGGTCATTAGCCATCATTAGTGACACCTGTGTGAAACACCTGGGTTAACTTTGAGAGCTGCATCCTGCTCCGAGGAAGGCGCAGGAAACAAGACATTTTGATAGACAAACGGCGTCAGTCTCCTACCACGAACAATATCAACACCTGACAACCCCGGACATTTACACCGAAGACCGTGCTGTCTGAGTGGACAGAGGGTATCCTCCTGAGGAGCGGATATTGAGGATTTGCTCGCTCCCTGTGAGCTGGCAGTGAGTCAACAACCCTTTTCCTCCAGACAGGAAAGGTTGCATGCAAAAAAAAGACTAGGAACACATTTATGTCTAATTCAACTCATATCAAAAGGGCTCATAGGTTGCGGGCTTACTTGCTATTTCATATTCACTTTTATATCAAGAGCCTGTCTCAGCAGCCCACCGTCAGAGTGACTTTCTATTTAAAGCTGTTAATGTAAAATCAAGCATATCCATATGAAATATAATAGAGCATAAGTCAAATGGAAATCATTTGTTGTAGATGTCCAGAGAGATAAGGGAAGAAAATGAATATAATAAAATTTGGTGTATTTCAAACGTATTTGTCAAAAAATGATTGCACTGATATGATGTGCTAATGAGCAGCACTCAAAGAGGATAATGTCTCAATTATTATAACACCAAGTCAGAAAGGCCACAGTCATTTCCAAGTGTTAGCCTGACCTTTTAGATTTCAGTGTCAGTCAGTCATCATTAGCTGACAGTACTGAGCCAGAGCGGCTCCATTATTCCAAACTAATCATTCTCATTTATCCAAGGAACAACCTGTGTGCCATTACACACTTAAAACACATCACATAACTAAGATGGAGATTACATGTCTCTCCCTAAAGAACAGCAATAGTTATTGCTGGTTCACTTTCCCCAAAGCAGATGTTTCCAACCAGAAGGAATTATCTTACTCACACTTCCTAACCCTTTAACCTCCAGGATACAATTCAGAGAGGTGAAATTAAAGACATACATCACACCTCTATGAGTTTACCCTTCACTATTTTGGGAGCTTTTATAAACACGATTTCATTTTCACAAGTAACAGCCTCTAGACAGGGCAATGTGTTATATTTTATTACAGTAATAAATTACATTTAGGTTGCACTCACTGTGATCAAGGCTTGGGGACGTGTGTGTGTGTGTGTGTGTGTGTGTGTGTGTGTGTGTGTGTGTGTGTGTGTGTGTGTGTGTGTGTGTGTGTGTGTGTGTGTATATTCAAACACAGAATGAGAGAAAGACTTAAAGAAAGAGAAACTTAGATTTAAACACACCCAGCAGAGGTAAGCTAGAAGAATCATTGATTGCACTGCCCACACACTCCCACGTGCTGAACAACATCATTAAAAACAAATGGGCACGACTGAAACAATGCAGCAATCTGTGATGCAACCAACTCCAAGTGAGACGCATTCGTTGGATTAAGAACTCAATGGAAGAAACTAAAAAACCGAACGCTTTGATTTGTTGCGATTCTTAAACACTACTGATGCCCATTTCATGTCTTGATCACAGCTTTTTTTGGACCATGCTTTCCATTAAGAAAGTATGATTAACAACCTAGTTTGTCCATAGTTTGAATTATAGTCATTGAGATGATGTGCATCACAAATCAATATAACCAGAATATATTAACGATCATCGTTTGACTTGATAGATTTGTTTTGCTGGGATCGTTTAGGTAAATTGTTTCTTAAATAGTTAATTCAACTTTTTTATTTATTTGTTGTTGAGTCTCACGCCACCCTGTGGGCTGACAATATCCCACCAATGGAGAGATTAAGTATAATAAATATAAAAAAATAATGCTGAATAACATAATGATTTGCAAAGTTTTATTTCTGACATACAAACATAAAAAGAAATCATTTGAAATAAGTTTTCATTAAAATGTAAACAGAATTAATTTTGATTCTTTTTCATCACTAATTTTGAATAATTTGTAGTCCTAGCTCATTGCGAGTTAAAGAGACCACTTTCCGGTCTTTAAGAGCTTCAGGTCCTGCACATGTCACCTCTTCCAAAAAGACGACATTCTGAGGATAGACAGTGAGCCACTTCCACAGATACTCCATCTTCTCATCGCACACCCAGGGGTTTCCGCTTAGGATGACCTGGAAAGACGAGTTTCTGTCCAGCAGCCCCGGGGGTAAATACTGCAGCTGATTCCGATTGAGCAATAGAAGCTGAAGATGCTGAAGACCGTGGAGAAGTGTCTCCGGCAGCTCTTGGAGACGATTCTCCTGTAAGAACAGTTGTGATAGTTTGGCGTTGTGGGAGAACGTTGTAGGTTTCAAGGATCTTAATTTGTTACCAGCGAGGTTCAGTGTCTCCAGGCGGTGCAGGTTCTTCAGGACGCCAGGTTGTAGGTCTTGCAGATTGTTGTCACTCAGGTCTAGATTCTTCAGGTTGGCCAGTTTCTGAAGCAGAGCGACGGGTACACTTGTTAAAAGATTTCCAGACAAGTCCAGCCAGGTCAGGCTACTATTGCCAAAAACCCACTCAGCGTCAGCAACCTCAATCAGGTTATTCTTCAGCACAAGACTCCGAAGTGAAGCGTGGCTGAAGACATTTGGAGGAAGATTAACCAGCTGATTTCCTGTCAGATCCAACTCGTTCAAGTGAGGAACGTTCTTCAGTAGATCGGAAGGAAGGCTTGTCAGGTTGTTGTGATACAGCTGGAGGTTGTTTAAAAGGGGCACAGCGCTCAAATGGCTGGCTGTGATACTGCTGAGTTTGGTTGATTGGATTGATATTCGACTGGTGTTGGAGGGTAAACCGGCTACAGGGAAATTCATAAGGGAGCTCTGGCTGCATAGCACCTCTGCACCTGAAGGTGGAAAGGAACAGGAGCAGAGATCGGGGCAGGAGTGGGCGCATCCAGCCAGTGCAGAGAAGGTAAGGAACATCCACAGGTTCATCTTTAAAACACAGAGTAAACATTCAGTGTGAGAAGCAGATTCACACAGGATCACGCAAACATTATTCTCAAAGGGTCACGACTCACAAGTAATATCACTGCATTGTAAAACAAATCATAAATGCATAATCTTACCTTAAGGGCACGGGAGAATTCCTTCGATTGTTGATCACAGACTGGGTTTTTATAGCCGAGTGAATTTGTTCCCAGAAATGAGTCAGAACAAAATGTTGCAAGAGGCAAACAAAACCAAGCAAACAAACCAGCTCATCAACCAGTGAGTGGTTACTTTTTCTGTTATTTCCAAAAGTAAAGATGTTACCACACACACAAATCAATATTTTCTTTTCCCACTCCTGCCTGATTTGTATGCAGCAGTACAGTATATAGTATTGCGTGTCTTTGATGCGGGCAAAATAACAGAATGAATGAGGTATTTGATTTGACCCTTCAATCCTTTTTTAATAATCACACAATGTTGGTGTTTACATTTCACTTTTAAAGAGCATACACAACTAACAGGCCGACATTACTAGACCATTTTCTTACTTGCTGAGAGTTATAGGGAAGATCAATTAAACTAATCTGTCAATTCATCGTGAGGCTTCAGACATTAGCTAATTAGCTTATCTTAATCCTAATGACTGATTTTAAATGCAATTTTCTTAATGTCTTTCGTTTTTTGTAAAGCACTTTGAATTGCCTTGTGTTGAAAGGTGTTATATAAATAAACTTGCCTTGCCTATCTTAAATACTGGAAACAAGGGGAAACAGCTCTGTCAGAAATAAGCATACCAGCACCTCTTAAGCTTATTTATTTAAGGTATACTTGAACCACAAAATGATCATTTGGATAACAATTGCTCGCCCTATGTTTTCTTGAACTTTTGGAAGAACATTTTCTTTTTTTCCTGCTGCTACCGAACTTGCTGCTGCTAGCTACAGTACAGTTCAGGTTGATTAAACGGTGACATGACATGAAAGGGAGCAAGGTCATTGGACAGAAAAATTACAAATTAATTTAGGTTGCTTGGTTACTTTGAAGACTGCGTGAACCGGTCAATGCCATTGGGGCCCCACAAATATATATATAAAAAAAGAATATAAAAAAAAAAAAAGTTTAAAAAAAAGGAATTTTGTTGTTGTTGCATGGGCCCCTTGCCGGCTCTGGGCCCCGGTGCGTTGCACCGGCTGCACCATCGATAGTTACGCCACTGGCTTTAACAGTCTCACACTTCTCGTTTCTTGTCAGTGCGAGTCAACAGTGGTTTAAATTGTATGCAAAGTATTCCCTTCACACATATCTGGTTTGCTAACCTCATACAAAATGGTGATGATTTGATGAAGTCTCATGGTGTTTGTAAGGGAATTCGTCAAATATAGCCAAGTTTCCCTCTGTTTCCAGCATTAATGCTAAGCTAAGCGAAATGTCTTGTGGCTGTTGCGTCATATTTGGCTTAACCCATTTTGAGCGCAATTAACAGATCGACAGCAATTCTTAGAAGCTTTCTTTACTCGCACCATATTCAATAATTCATTTAGGGATATTGACAAAAGAACATGTTTCAGTGATTGTAAAATAAGACAGCTGAACTGAGTATATCATTTAATAGATTTTAACCAGCATATGGAAACATTTAAGACCACAGATTTAGTTCACTTAATGTCAGCAACATTAGTGAGCGCCCCGCCAGAGGCTGTGGGCGGGAACATGTGATGGTCTCTGGCAGGAAGACCTTCTTCTTGTTCTTCTGAAGCCACCTCCAGAGGTACTCCACCTTCCCGTCACAGTGCCAGGGGTTGTTGGTCAGGTCCAGCCCCTCCTCGTCCAGAGAACTCAGGGGCTCCAGCAAACCTGCAGGGATGTGGCTCAGCTGGTTGTCATCCAGGCTCAGGTGTCTGAGCTGAGTGAGCTCTTGAAATACGTTTTGGGGGAGTTTGTTGAGTTTATTTCGAGAGAGGAACAGATATATGAGGTTACGGGTGCTATGGAGTACGGATGGATCCAGGGTTTCGAGCTTGTTGTTTTGCAGGTTCAGCCTCTCTAGTTTGGTCAGTGGGACCAGAGAATCTGCAAAAATCTTCTCCAGACGGTTGTTGGCGATGTCCAGTGTCTCCAGGTGGGGCAGCTTCTGAAGCAGAGCAGTCGGGACCTTCGTTAGACTGTTCCCAGATAAGTCCAACCAGGTGATGCTGCAGTTATCAGGGAGCCACTCGGCCACCGCCATCTCAATACGATTATTCTTCAGCACCAAGTTCTTGAGCGGGGCGGGGTTAAAGACGCCTGCAGGCAGGTCGCTCAGTCTGTTTCCTGTAAGATCCAACGTGTCGAGGAGAGGAACGCCTCTGAGGAGATGAGGGGTGAGGCTCTGCAGGTGGTTACTGTACAGGTGCAGCCCTCGCAGCCGAGGCGTGGCGTTTAGGTGCTGCTCGGAGATCGAGGTGATGTTTGTAAACTGGATGGTCAGAATGGTGGTGTTCTTCGGTAATCCCTCTGAGGGGTACTCTGTCAGGGGAACTGCATTACAGACCACCTCAGCTCTTCTGTGGTAGCATTTGCAAAGTGGCGGACAGGAGAGAGCGCCATGGAAGGAATATGCAAAGCAGAGGAAAGCGAGGGCACACCAGGACTTCATTTCTAGGAGAAGAGGACACAGAGTTAATGATCAAGAAAAATAACATAAATGGATCAAATATCTCGATGTATTTCAGCACTGCAAAACATACAAATTATTTCCAGTGTATGATGTTAATGCACATAAACAACAAAAATAAAACGTATGTACATTAGAGTAAAATGTATGTACACGAGTAACAAAATAAGACTTGTGTTAATAATAATAGAAGTTTTGTCCATATACAAGATTTTGATTCCCTAAGTAACAAAATAAAACTTACTGTGGTTTTCCAACCGCTCCTTATATCAGATTCAGCAGCAGTCACTTGCGAATGATTGAGTCATTTGAGGAGAAGAATCTCCCGATGTAATCATTACTTATTAAGTAAACAAGGACGCGCTCAAAACAGTCATTTGTCAAGGACAGGCAGTTGCAACAGATTGTGAGACCTGCAGGGAAAGTACAAAACCTGGACACTTAGTTTATGTTGGTTTATTGAATAACATTTTACATTTCTGATAATTGTCAAGTAGCCTATGATGTTTAAGTGTGTGCTTTAATGTGAGCATATGAAGTTTATGATTATAATAGTTTGCCACGGAGTGAAATACATGTTTACATTATTTTGCACTTTGGATTTTTATATGGGAAGGAGGAAATAGGGCATAGGTAAAAATCATCCATGTAAAATGAGATCAATTCGATTTAATTTGCTCAAAATGTTAGTAGTATTCAGATACAGCAATTATCATTTTAATAATGCAGAAAACACAAGGCAGAAAAATAGCCCCTTAATAGAATATAATTGTACTATTGAAGTAAATCCTGTTTTAATTAGCTCATTGTTTCCTTAATTTATAATGAATCATTTTGTATTATCTTCATGTGTTGGATATAAAATCATAGGTTAAGAGTAAATAAGTAAAACTACTGAAGTAGAATAAAACATACAATATTTCCCTCCCAGATAAAGTAGAGTAGCAGCATGAAATTGACCTCAAATTAATACTTGAAAACAGTTTTGACACTCCTGAAAGAAATACATTTTATTTTCCGAAATGTAAATACAAATCTATATAGAAAGTGATGAGTGAAGGCTGCGTGCCACATGAGGTCACCGCTGTCGGTACAGCAGGTTTCAGGGTATTGAAGCAGAGCATAGAGTCACACGGCTGATAGACAGAATGGATCAGACTTGCAGTATGAAATATGATTTCAGCAGATGGGCAACATGACGAACCATTACATTATGTATGATGAGTGCCAGTTGGCTTTAGGCTGTTCTGAAAGATTTATTTCAGCCGAGCCCACTCACTCCACGTGCACTTGCGAGATAGACAGACCTATTCTGGTATAGTTCAAATAGTTTCCTAAAATACACAGTAGTCCGATCTAACACCTGCCAAGGATCACCGCAGTGTTTCTATAACATTCTGTGTTTATAATGTCATTGTCTTTTTTGGTATTCTTCATTTTATGACCTGAACATTCAGTATTGTACAGTCTAAAATACAGATTAGTTTTTAATGAGTATATCTTTAGATGACCAAGATCTCACTGATACATCACAAATAATTTAGGTAGAATGTATTGAGTTAAAGGAATTATGCTTTTTTGGGCTTTCCATTTCCTGTAGTGTGTTTTTATAGGTTTTTTTGCACGCTGGTTTGCAAAGTCTACAATCCCAAAGTTCACTCCAGAGGGAGTTTCTCTCCCCCCCCTGCCTGAAACGCCTCCATTTGACTCCTTTGTTTACTTCTGTGACATAGTGACATCACTAAATAACACTCACTCTTATTTTGGCTAGCGATCCAACACATTATACGGGGTTGGCTAAGGGGTGAAACCTCGGTTAACCAATCATAAAAGAGCTAACAAATCAAAGTTGAATGGACTCTGGTTTCAGACAGTGGGGGAAAAGAGGTGCTGCATGAGAAAAGTAAAGCACATTTTGAACATTAAAGCATGTCACAATAAAGGCACAAAATACAAATATGAACCTGGAAATTAGCATATTAAACAATCATGATATGTTTAGGGAGCTTTAAAGGGGCTTGTTGGTCACAAGTTTCACATATCAAGTATTCTTGCTAAGCTAACCGGCTGAGTGGTATGAAGCGAATAAATGTATTCCCCAATATGTCAAACTATTATTTGAACAATGAAAACAACTGAAACTGAATTAACTGACACTACCTTACTATACAGAGAAGCAGGGGAAAAGGTTTTCCCTTAATCTTCCTGTCAAAAACCCCAAGACAAACTCATTCAGTAGCCATTTCATTTACTCCCGCTGCTTTTGATGTGATTATAGTGCAGGGAGGAGTTTTTGTATTAAACCTTGAAAGGTTTCAAACAAGACATGAATACACCGATTACATCTTTAGGGTCATAGTCATGCTTTGTTATATCAAGACAAATCTCTCAAACCTCTACATTGGATTTCAAACAATACATACAAATGAATTACTCATTATTAGGGTTACAGAACTTTATTTAAATGTCATTGTCATGAATGGCGAGAAACGAACACATGGTTTCTATTCAATTCACATTATTCTGTCGTATGTTATACAAGTCTACTTTGTGTAATGAAAACCTTATTCATTTATAAGGCAAGCATACTGTATAATGTGCTGCTGACTGACATCCATAAAAATAATCATATTCTATGAGCTACGCTTTCTGTGTTACAATACACAGACCTCTTGATCCTATATACAAATGTTCACACACATGCCTAACAAACATAAATCCATGTCATCCACTGCATCTGACAGAATAAAACGCCCATGTTAATTCATGATGGTTATAAATAAAGCACTTTTAATCCGTTTTTTAAAAACTTTTTCTTTGGATGTAGTCTCACTCTAATATGACTGCTCATTTTCATCTTGTTAAAATGACAAAGGCAGCCTCAGTTCTCATGACGACAGCCAGTCTCTGTGAATGTTTCTGTCCATGATTAGCAGGGTTCTTTTCAGTCTACTGCCCTGATGAAATAACACATGAAGGCACTGAGTCCAGACTGCGGGTGTTTATCCATAAAGATGAAAATACACATCTTTGATGAGCCAGGGTTAACTGTGAAGAGAGAGAAAATGGAGAGAAAGAAAATGATGTGAACACCTGGTGATGCTACCAACAGAATGGCTGGACTTCAAAAGGCACACCCACACAAGATCCACACATATTAAACCAGGAAGCTTTCCAGTAGCAACACAATGCATGAGTAAAATGCAAAAAGAGCAGACGGATTCATCTTCAGTCTGCATGTTAGAAAGATGTTAAATATTAAAGCATTTTGTGATATATGCGTATTGATTTTTGCTCACAGTTTAATGAGAAGATTGATACCACTCACAGTAGTAAAGTAAAGATACAACCAGCAGACATATAGCTTAGTAAAAAGACTGGAAACAACTAGCCTGGCTTATTTTATTCTTAAATAACTTTTTGCTTGAGTGAGATAGAGTGCTGGTAGGCAAAATGTGTAACCTGTGGACGGGCCAGACAAGCTGTTTACAGTCTTCATGCTAAGTTAAGCTAACTGTCTGCAGCTTCTTATTGAATGTACATATATGTGTCTGGTACCATCACTTACCTTTTTGCAGGAAAGTGAAGTGTATTTCCCCAAATTACCAACTATTTCTTTAATATTTGACTTCCTTCAAACATGCAGACCAATCCTCAAATCATTATTCTCAAAAATGTCAGCTTAGTGCAGAAATAATTGTTACTTTTGTTGTAGACATGATGCCATTCATAGAGTTCATGTTTCCACTCAGCTGTCAATTTAGAAATCACAACAAAGCATGTCTCTGTCTCCAGTAAGGCTGCCTGCACACGGCAAACACATGCAGAGGTCCAGTTACCCTCTGACCCCCCTCTTTCACTTCATTCAGAAGAACATATCATCATCATCATCATCATCGTCATCATCCAATGGCCAACTCCAGTCTCTGAGGCCGAACTCAAGCAATCTGAAAAGTAAGTATGAGGTTTACCGAAGGGTCAAAAGCCTATCGAGCTTCATAAACTGCCAGGGTAATACATGCCCGGTTCAGCAGGGGGCAGTGTAGAGCTGCGAGGAGTTAACCGACTGATTGAGTCGACTTGTTATACCGGGGTGAGTGTTAATGGCCACGGCAGCACATCGTTATGGAGACGGACAGGCGTGACAAGCTCTGTTACTTACAGTCTCCCAGCATGAGAGACGTTAGAAAGGTGGGGTCAGAGGTCAGTGGAGGATGATACGGAGCATGGGGCCAGCGCTGAGGGATGAGAGCCAGTTAGGTTGTGGAGGAGAAAGCAAACTTTTACAAGATGGTGGCAGTTAGCAACGCTTAAAATGGTTTCCTACTACTATTAGGTTGTTACTGACGTTGTGAGAGGCCATGTTTGAGCTGCTACATCGTTATGTAAATGGATCAGGAATCTTAAAGCAACACATTGGTGAGCCACAGATTTAGGCCCCTTTAAAGTGCACAGGATTTAGAATCATCAAAAGAGAAAACAAGATTAGGGTTTTTGTTAAGATTGTTGATTCAGCTTTTTCAGAAAAATACAATTATATTTTGTAAAATAAGCAAAGATATAAAGCTTTTCACCCTGATATTTGGACACACAAGAAATGTTTGTCTATGCAAAAGGACCATAAATAAAGGCATTTTGTGACATTAAAAGGAAATTAGGAGATTAGCAGATTAGTTGTCCAAAGGTAAATGCATTGTAAATGGTAACTTTATAATGACATTTAATGTTTTGGTATCTGACATTTAACAATCAAAACATAGAAAATAATAATAAAATAATTCCTGGAGTTTTACTATCACAAAAATGACTTAAGGTTGTATTGGGTACAGCTACGGTATTTCACCAATTTGTCTTCACATGAATTAAACGACAAAGCGACTCCTAATAAAAACTGTTTTTGGGGAACATCTCACTGTGTAGGTGGCTTTTTTCTTTATATAGCTTTTCCCTTGTTGCCAACATACCTGCTATAATAATGCAAAATGAATTTCAAAAAATGGTAGAATTATTAAACCTGAAAATAACAAGTGCTACATTTCCTCCATATTGAGTTTAACATGACCATATCGTGGGAAAACAGTAATTCAAGCCATGTTAACACTGAAAACAAACTGAGTTTTAATATAAGTACATCTGTACGCAGTAAAATGTTCCTTGTCCTCACCTGGGCTTCCCTGAGGACGGCTGCTGTCTGCTGGGCTGGATCTTAATGGCTCCGCGATGGGCCGACAGACGAGGCGAGGCCTTGGGTGAGGGTCTCGGGGAGTTTCGAGGAGACAGGCGTGGCGGTGCGTCAGGGTGGTTGTTTTGTGTTGCGGCAGGAGGACTAATGGTCGGGTGTTTCCTCGGGATGCGTTTGAGGAGGTGGGCGACCCAGCGCTGCTGCTCCTCCTGAGAGCTGGTCAGCAGAAGCAGCTCTTTGGCAGTGGAGATGTCATAGTTAACTGCAGAAGAAAAAAACATATTTGTTAGATGATCTCCGGGAAACAAGCACAATGGTTGTGATGTTCACTTAAAGTGGACCTATCATGCTATATTTGAAAAAAACCTACATACAAAACAAGTTTTTTTTTCAAAATACCAAACAGTTCACCTATTGTAGCCATGGCTCATACTGCTCAAACCCCTCTTTTGAAGCCCTGTTAGAGAAACGCAGATACTGGGTCCTTAGCTTGAAAAAAAAGAAGAAGAGGAGGCGGAGCTAATGCCTGGTCAGAATTCTACCGGAGATAAAGTTACATTCGGTTGTGATAAAACGCCATCCTGTTCTAAACCACATCAAGGATTATTTCTGATACAGTATGGAGCTCAAATGCTTTTTCTCTTGCGGGTTTATCACAAGGTGAGTTCCTTTTTTATTTCCTGCTTTTTAAAACACATGTGCTCTACAGTACAGGTTAGCTCTGAGTGTTAGCGAGGCTTGCTAATGTAAACAAAGACGAGATTACGTCCAAAACACGTCAGGCATTGTTTCTGATAGCAACTTTCTGTGGGTCCGCCGACGTCACCTCGGATGGACACGTCAGTTCGGATGGAAATATGTATCCGCTCGTTGTACACCCGTTTTTTAAAAGATTTGGGTACGGAGGAAAAGAGAGAGGGTTTTATTTTCTGATGCTGCGTGAGTTCCCCGACGCACCGGGGACACATTTATGTATAAAAGACATCACAAAGTGCATTTTGCATGATAGGTCCCCTTTAATGTTGGAGAAACGCTTCTATATGATTGAGCATACTGACCCTTGCAAGGCACAATAACTTCCTCCTTCTTGTCCAGGTGATCTTTGTGGCACTTGGTGTGGCAGCGACGGCACTCGAGGGCCGGCGGGGGTTTAAAAACATTCCACAGGGGCCGGGTGCAGACCTCACAGCTGGACGGGAAGTGGTAGAGAGTGAGTATGAACTCATGGCCCTTGTGAGGGATGAAGGAGGGGCGATCCACAAACGTCCCCGGATCCACTGCCACCTCCTGATCACGTTTAATCTCGCCTTCATTGGCATACAGGATCTGGGGAAAGAAAGGAAAGGAGAAAGTTGAATTGAGAACAACGGATTTATATTGAGTCTGAACAGAGGGAAAGGAAAGAGACGGGTATGTCGGAGCTTTTCACCTGGAATATCATTGGAATTTCTTTGGCATCCGCACGGTACACATCCGTATGAGTGACAGGTCGGACGTGAAAAAGTTTTCTATAGCAGGAAGAGAGATTCACTTGATATGGACCCAGGATAATACGTGTAATCAATAGGAATACATAAATGTGTAGCAGCATCAAGTATTCTAGTATTACATGTTCAAACCATGCTTTATATAACTCACTCGATGTCCAGGGTCATGAAAGGATTAGCCTGCTCTCGATCCAGTTCGCTGTTGTAGAACAGGATCTTCTTGCTGCTCACAACTACATACTTTGAAGGAAAAGGAAAAACAAGGGTCAAAAGGTTAGACAGGGAAATTGCTCTATTGGAAATGGTGATTACTAGGAAAACAAATCTGTAGGTATGAGATATAGTGGTGGAGGATACGTTACTTTTTTGTCCCAGCCAAAACGCTTTGTGTTCTTGGTAGGAAGGGAAATCCAGCCCTGCAACCTGGAGTCTAGTTCGAGGAGAACAAAACAGGAAGATGTTAACACAAAGAGAACAGCCTTTTAATCATGTGAACCACTTTAAAAAAAACACCTTGACATTTTGAAATGGTGGCATTTCCTTCAAACAGACCCTCATCACTTAAAGAAGGAATGATTCCTCACTAAAACGTAAGGGCAAGTGGCAGAAAGCTCCAAGGAATATAAAATCTCTAATTAAAAAAACGAAATTCTCCAGCACACAACGTGGCAGGTGTCTGGTGAGGAAAAACAAACTAAAATGAGCAGGTTTCAACACACTCAACACACTTCACCAACTTCCATTTTTTTCAGAGGAATAAATTAGACCAAAACGGGCCAGCATCACGCTGTGAGTATTTAATGTACGTGTGCAGTGAGCATTAAAAAGGATTAAAGCACAGCAGAGACAGTGACAAGTCAAGAGTAAATGGATTAGCAGAACATTTGCAAGGTTGAACCAGGGTTGAGGGTGCAGTATTTCTTTCTCAATTTAAATCTTTATTAACGTCCAATTTGAAAACATGGACATTTTAATGGATAAATAATGATATTAGGTCAATTTTAAAAGTGTTATTGCATCCCCATCCCAGGTTTGAACTGCCATGCAGCGTCACCTGCAGGTTCAGCCTCAGGGGGCTGTTCGTAGGTGAGGGCCAGGGGACGGGGGCCCTGCTCCGCCCTCCTGCCATATTCTTCCTCATCCTCAGAGTCAGAGTCAGAGTCGAAGAGATTGTGAGCAGAGCGAAGGTTTGGCCGGGTGTCGATGCAGACAGATTTGTGTGTGCGCTGGTAGGTGAAGGACATTGATTCTGAGGTTTGTGAGTGAGAAATGCGCACTGTGCCGGACCAGGAAAGGAGAATTTGAGGTGAAGTGAGGACGGGGAACAAGGAAAAAGCATAAAGAGGAAAAGGTCAGAAAACAATTGGGCCTGGAAGAGACTCAAAGTGAAAACAAAGGAAACAGTGAGAACTCAGGAAGAGAGACTGCAGGAAGAGGAAGGAAGGAAGTGCATGCAGGCTTTGAGAATTTGACTAGGCCAAATTAAAGAAGGATGAGCGTAAAGTGTACTTTGTCTACCTGGGTATCCGTCACCCATGTCCAGGTCGTTGCCACTGCTGATGCTGGTGGTGTCCAGAGAGTGAATGCTGAGGGAAGTGATCTGACACCGGAGCTGCTCGATGTCGCTGTCTTTGCTGTCCAACGTCATCTGAAGCTCCAGACGCACCTGGTTCTCTTCTGCTATCAGCTGAGAAAAAGACACAAACTATTGTTTAATTGGAGTTCATTGTATTTCCTATTGTTTGCTGTTATAATACACATTAATGTATATATATATTAGGGCTGGACAATTTGGAAAAAATAATTAATTGTGATTTTATTGACTGATATTGCGACTAGGATAGATCCTTTTTGTCTTAATGTACATTATTTAATTCCATATTCTGTTCTTGTACATATCATATTCTATTTACATGTATATCGATTTTTTATTTTTTTATATATGTTGCATTGTTAGAGGAGCTCAGGTCAGAATAATTTCATTGCCATTTCTACAATGTAGCTTGTGTATGTGCATATGACAATAAAACCGTTGAATCTTTCTTTTTTAATTGCCACATTAATCTCATTATCATTGAAAAACATATCAAAATTGACATGGTTTCATTTTTTAAGAGAATCTGTACCAAACATATGTTTTGTTAAGTCTATTTGTAGGCAGCCCAACAATACAATGTTGGTTAATTGTGCAGCCTTAGTATATATTCATGCGATTTGTCGGTGTGCTGGAGTGTAGCTTCTGCATACTGACCGCCTGCATATCTGTCATCTCTCTCTGGTACTTGATGATGGTGCTGTTGAGCTTCTCCTTCTCCGTCCTCAGCTCCTGCTGCAGCTTCCTGTTCAGTTTCTCCTTCCTGTGCACCTCAGTGTCGATCGTGCGCTGGCCTCCTCGCCCCGACTCCCTCCTGTTCATCACCTCGGTCAGCTTGTTGATAGCCTGGGAGCAAAAAACACAGCAGCTTCTCAGGGATCCATATGTGATTAATATGAATTCAGTATATACTCAGGGCAGCCTGCAGGGATATCCTGGCTGAGATATAGATTTTTTAAAACTAGTTTCAGATCTCAGTGATTTTGCCCAGAGTTCAACACTAGCCCTGCAGCTGAACAGTATTATTAACAACAATTGATGTGACATAACAGTTGTAAAAAGTCTGACAGTAAAAGTAGAAATGTATGGAAATATCCCAGGCTTTCCAGACCTGCGTAGGCACCCAGACACACACCTGAATTTTGAGCGTCCTTTCATTCTGCAGCAGCTTTTCAAAGGACAGTTTGTGCGAGTTCATCTGCTTCTCCTCCTCCATTGCTTTCTGGAGCTCTGTATAAACAGCAGAGAAGAATATTAAATCCGGGCTTATATACTTTACTCACTTAACATCACTTTTAGATAAGATAAATAAATGATACTGCAACTTTGAAGACCAATATACAGCAGTTCTACAGAGGATTCCTGATTGAATAGATGAATGACTTCTTTCATGACATTTTAACAACCCTATCACCATAAATCATCTGGATAGGTAAGACAGATTTTGAACACGTTTTCCAGTACTGAGGGAAATGTCATTCCTGTAAATTTGTTCTCTATATGTGGTTCTCATTAACTTCACATGACACTCACGTTGCTGCATGTCTTTCAGCTGGTTGTTGAGCTCCTCTTTCTCGCTGGCCAGGTTGGCCACATCCACCGTCAGAGTGCGATTGGACTCTTCCAGCTACAGGGGGTGACAGGGGGGCAAACAAGATAAATTAATTGATATAGCACATTTAAAAACAATACCATTTTTTGTTTTACTGTATCATGTCAACTCTTGTGGTTGTCAATGTTCGAATCTAATCCATCCGTCCAGGGTTGATTTGACATCTGGGCCACTAGCTAGAGACAGTTCACTTATTGATAATCAGCTTATTTAAACAGTGGGTACCTCCAGGGCCAAAGGTCTGAAAATGACGCCCCCTCACCCTCTCTTAGTTGTCCTGACATTTTGCTGTATTTCTGGATGCCTGTGAGCTCATTATTAGTTTATTTGATCACATCAGACACTCAACAATTCAGCCAAGATAGACTAATATTGCCGTTTGTCATATTTTATGACTACATCAAATACATAAAGAATGTTTGTCTTGAGGCATTATTCAATTTTGAGTCTGGGAAAGTTAGAAAAACTCACTTATGTACCTCTGAACTGTCTCCTTTAACTACACTGAACAAAAATATAAATGCAACACTTTTGTTTTTGCTCCCATTGTTCATGAGATGAACTCAAAGATCTAAAACATTTTCTATATACACAAAATAACCATTTCTCTCAAATATTGTTCACAAATCTGAAAAAATCTGTGATAGTGAGCACTTCTCCTTTGCCGAGATAATCCATCCCACCTCACAGGTGTGGCATATCAAGATGCTGATTAGACAGCATGATTATTGCACAGGTGTGCCTTAGGCTGGCCACAATAAAAGGCCACTCTGAAACGTGCAGTTTTGCTTTATTGGGGGGGTCTGGGGGGGGTCCGAAAACCAGTCAGTATCTGGTGTGACCAGGGTTGGGAGGGTTACTTTGTAAATGTAATCAGTTACTGATTACTGAATACATGGCTCTGAAAGTAATCCGAATACAGTTACGTGTCTTAAAAAAGTAACGTAATCAGATTACTTTTAGATTACTTTTGGATTACTTTCTTTTTCCATAACAGATGGGTATGTTTTGGTGAACAGGAGACACAAAAAGCAAAAGGAAACTGAACGTGTTTTTACTGTTTTAATGGCTTATCAAGAGAACAACTGAAACATAACATCTGAAACGATGCAACAACATATGCTAATACACTTTTTGGGGATGCAGCTTGGGATGTGAGGAGTAAGGGACACGGCTTAGAACGGGCGTGTCGCATTCTGTCCTGCAAGTGTTGGCAGGACATGAATTAAAATGTCGAACTCGGACTTCATTTTAAGGACATGTCGGCCAGGGGTGTAGAGCTATATTTGTTTAAGCACCGGATCGGCAAAACAGGAGACTCTGTGCACAGTGCACCAGTCTGCCTTGATCTATGAATTCATGTCCGTGACACTCACAGTAGCCCATCTGCTGCCCACAGCTGTTTTATAGAAGGAACACCTCCTTCACTTCATGAAATCTCTGCAGCACCAGGAGGCAGCGGGAGGGTTAACTCAGAAGACGAGCGTGCAGTGCCTTTCACGCACCGCCTTCGCTGTGTTTACCTTCAGAATCATAAGGCTAAAGAGCGACCGCAGGCTGATGTGTTTTAACCACACACACCTCTACACACACACGACTTAAACGCAGACTTTTGTTCCTCCATGTTTCGTTGTTATTGTTTCACTGAGCGGCCCCGCCCCTTTTTTTCGCTCCCTTTTTTGGTCCATCTGCGGCGGTAAAAGTGTTTGTGCGCTGTGATGATTCGGCTGTAGCCTACCTTTAATAATGAATATTAAATGTTGTGAGGAAATATTTCCATCAATAATTCCAATAAGTAATCCAAAATGTATTCACTTCAGGTTTACGAAAGTAACTGTAATCAGATTACTCGTTTTTCAAATGTAACGCGAGCTGAATACAGTTACTTGATTTTTGTATTCTGATTACGTAACGCCGTTACATGTATTCCGTTACAACCCAACCCTGGGTGTGACCACCATTTGCCTCACGCAGTGCAACACATCTCCTTCGCATAGAGTGGATCAGGTTGTTGATTGTGGCCTGTGGAATGTTGGTCCACTCCTCTTCAATGGCTGTGCCAAGTTGCTGGATATTGGCAGGAACTGGAACACGCTGTCGTATACGCCGATCCAGAGCATCCCAAACATGCTCAATGGGTGACATGTCCGGTGAGTATGCTGGCCATGCAAGAACTGGGATGTTTTCAGCCTCCAGGAATTGTGTACAGATCCTTGCAACATGGGGCCGTGCATTATCATGCTGCAACATGAGGTGATGGTCGTGGATGAATGGCACAACAATGGGCCTCAGGATCTCGTCACGTTATCTCTGTGCATTCACAATGCCATCAATAAAATGCACCTGTGTTCGTCGTCCATAACATACGCCTGCCCATACCATAACCCCACCACCACCATGGGCCACTCGATTCACAACATTGACATCAGAAAACCGCTCACCCACACGACACCGCACACGCTGTCTGCCATCTGCCCTGAACAGTGAAAACCGGGATTCATCCGTGAAGAGAACACCTCTCCAACGTGCCAGACGCCATCGAATGTGAGCATTTGCCCACTCAAATCGGTTACGACGACGAACCGGAGTCAGGTCGAGACCCCGATGAGGACGACGAGCATGCAGATGAGCTTCCCTGAGACGGTTTCTGACAGTTTGTGCAGAAATTCTTTGGTTATGCAAACCGATTGTTGCAGCAGCTGTCCGAGTGGCTGGTCTCAGACGATCTTGGAGGTGAACATGCTGGATGTGGAGGTCCTGGGCCGGTGTGGTTACACGTGGTCTGCGGTTGTGAGGCCGGTTGGATGTACTGCCAAATTCTCTGAGACGGCTTATGGTAGAGAAATTAACATTCAATTCACGGGCAACAGCTCTGGTGGACATTCCTGCTGTCAGCATGCCCTCAAAACTTGCAACATCTGTGACATTGTGCTGTGTGATAAAACTGAACATTTAGAGAGTGGCCTTTTATTGTGGCCAGCCTAAGGCACACCTGTGCAATAATCATGCTGTCTAATCAGCATCTTGATATGCCACACCTGTGAGGTGGGATGGATTATCTCGGCAAAGGAGAAGTGCTCACTATCACAGAGAGAAATGGTTATTTTGTGTATATAGAAAATGTTTTAGATCTTTGAGTTCATCTCATGAAAAATGGGAGCAAAAACAAAAGTGTTGCATTTATATTTTTGTTCAGTGTATATCACACATAATAAGCTATTCTATGTGATCTTCATTCGATAACTTATGTTATATTTTTCCATTTCTACTCACTGAACTTCTTCTGAAGGAGTTTGGAGCCCCCCCGGGGGGAGCCTGCCTCCCAGTTAGTAAAACTCTGATCTTATTCATGTCACCCTTTGGAGTTTCTGTACACCAGTAAAGCAGTTTGTAGTGCAAATATGCCAAGGATGTCAGAAATGTGCCATATATATATATCAACAATACAGGTTTGTTAAATACTTTAGAAATGTCTAGTACAGGATCATTAGCTGGAATCTTATAATAAAACAAAAAAATATTTGAAAGTGGTTTAAAACGTTCTGGATCTAACAAAAACATGTATTGATCTTACCGAGCTGATTGTGGCCTCCTTGTCTCCGAGGTCCAGTTTGTTTCTCGCCATCATATCTTTGATCTCCAGCTCCTTCATGATCTTCTCCTTTTCCAGATCCGAGTACTGCTCCTCAGCGAAGGAGCGAGCCAGCTGCTCTGAGTCCGCCTTTGTCAGACTGGACTCCAGCTGTGCTGACATGGAGCTCCTGTGGAGGAAAGAGTGGGACAAAATGTTATTGCCATATTATGAAGCTGTTATTATCACAGTCAGAAGCAGGCTGCCTATAGTTTGGACAAACATTATTCTTTGAATGACCTTTTTGCACAAAGCACGATTTGCCAAGCGAGCGCTACACTGGATCATATTTTGAACTTCTTGTCCACAGTTATCTTTGGCTGCAGGGCATCGGGGGCTGCTAATCTGATTCACTCATTCTGCTAAAGATCAACTCCCCCATTTTGGCTGTGAGATGAATTCACAGGGCAAATAACACTAATCTGGAAAGTGTGGTACATTATTTAAAAAACAGATCCATCTTATCTTGGTATTGTTGTCCTATGGATGCGTTGCTACCACTAACATTCACCTCTTAAACCTAAATAATTTATTTTTATTTTTATCATGCATTAATTCCTTTTACAACACCTTGTTTGTGTTATATACTTTATACTTTGCTCCACATTAACATATTGTTTGTTTTTGCATGTGCATGGTTTAGCTTGGATTAAATATGTATTTTAGTTTGTATGTTTAATCTTAGTTTTAGTTGATATTTTGGAAAAGATAAGATGAGCCTTAGAATAAATGTGTGTAGGGTGTTGGATATTCACAAACTAAACCCATATAAATGTACAATTGTATGCTGGTAGACCATAATAGAAATACCAGGTGTTACAGTGTGACTGCTTACCTCTCCTCCTGATATTGTCCCAGTTGTAGCTGCGACTCTTTGTACAGTTTACTCCTCTCAGAACACTCGTCCTTCAGCTCACGAATCTGCGTCTTGTAAAGAGTCTTCGGAGGGAAAACAGTTGGAGATTAAATGTATTTCTCATGACATATTTGGGATGAAGTCGCATATCTTTCTATTCAATCCCCTATTGATGATCGATTGAAACTTCTTTTGCAGTTCTGGCAGTATATCTTTGTAGAAAATGTGCACAAAAGACAAATTGATGGTGAGACTTACTGTGAAATACTGCTCACTCTCCAGTTGGTCCTTCAGCTCCTTCAGCTGGCCGCCGGCCTCCTGCCTCTCCCTAGAAGAGGACCAACAGTCTGTCAATCACTATCCACCAGAGCCAAAAACATTTGCCTCAAACCAGATACGATGAATAAGATTCTCCACAGCAATTTGTCAACAACACATTGAGCTGCTCTGTGTGTGTGTGTGTGTGTGTGTGTGTGTGTGTGTGTGTGTGTGTGTGTGTGTGTGTGTGTGCTCAATGTGCATTATGCTCAGTATGCGTGTTTGACCTGCGTAGCTCCTGGATCTGTTTCTCCATGATTTGCTTCATTTCCAGCAGGTGGTTGAGCTCCTGTTTGAGCTGTTTTTCGGAGGAGCTGAGCACCGACACCTGCTGGTTCTGCATCTTCAGATCGCTCTGGGTCATGCTGCGCTTGTGGATCTCCTCCTCCAGACGCAGGCTCAGACTCTTCACCTGCACACACACACAAGCATTTTCAGTTTTGGCACTAAATGACAGTTATGTGATAAATGTGGAGAACAGATGCTGCAAGTAATGTTTATATTAGTTGTGTAATAATCAAATTCTTAGTCTAAAAAAAGTTTCAAAATAAGGATAAATGCCCATTGCAAAAGAGTACAAAATGTCATAACATTAGTTCAATAATCTGAATGGACTTGGAGAAATGTGCTAGGGAAAGCTGCAACTATCCACAAAGTAACGTGTTTATTGTATAAGAATTATGAAATTAAGTATTCAAAAATGGTTTTACACAAACCCTTTAACTTCTTTCATGGAACTTTTTTCTGGACTACAATAGCATGGAAGGAGATTTCAAGGCTTATTTCCATATAGTTTACAATGTCTAACAAGACTTTATGTCATTGTTGTGTCTTATCACCCTCAGTGTACACATCTGTATATTCCTTCTACTGTTGTACTGTCTTTGTAATTTTCTTTATATACCGTAATGTGTTTATTTTTGGGATTTCTTTACTTATTTATTATTAAAAAAAAATTCTCTTTTCTCTTTGACGGCATTTATTTATTTATACTTTTTATTATTGTATTGCATGTGTGGAGAATGTGTTCAGTGTTTGGGATAAGTGGAAAAAAGGGGGTACATATTGGTATCATGCACCTTCTTATCTTGATTGTGTTACCCTGTGAAAATTCAATAAATATATAAAAAAAAAATAAAAAAGTTGTACCTTCTATAAAGTGATTAATTCATTAATACTGGGACTAACCTCTTGAGAAAGTTTATCCTTCTGCGCCTGCATCTCGTTGAGTTTCTGCTGCGCCTGCTTGTAGTCGCAGTCCAGCATGGAGTGGGCCTTCTCTTGTTGCAGCAGCTTCGCCTCCACCTGCAGCTTCAGGCTCCTCTCCTCCTGCAGAGTGCACTCCATCTCTGAAACAAAACAACCATGAAATCCATCAGGGGATAATCCACCCTGCACTCAATACCACGGTATTGACAAAACAATTTGTTTTTGTCTTTGTTTAAAACAGCTTGGAGCACCAAATAAATGTTCAGGAGGACAATCAGAGGGCAGTGTATTGTATTGGAAAGCCAGGATGTTTTAGTTTCTGTTAGGAAAGGCAGTTTCTCAATGTTTACTTACTTAATCAATCACTCATTAATCTTTTATATGTGATGTATTGTTTCTTTTACAGCCACTTTTCATCTATCATACGATAAGTAAAACACAATCTCCTGAACACATGCTGATGCATCATTTTTCACTTATTTCCCCTCCTACTAGCTCACCTTTTAAGGCCTCAGACTTTGCCTCGTCGATGGACTCGTAGATGTTGTCTTTATCTGCGAGCTTGGATTTGGTGGCTTTGTGTTCGGCCTCCTCCTGCTCCAAACTCTGCTGGAGCGACTTCAGATTGAACGTCAGGTCGATCTCTTGGTTGCTCTTCTCCTATGGATTCCAATGGGTTATTATACAGTCTTTTAATGGCTATCGATACATAGGATTTATTTGTGCTGTAATAACTTGCATGGGAACAGGCAATGGTACACTTTTAAAAAGTTGGACAACAATGTCAATGCTATATAGAAACGTCAAAATGAAGATTGCAAGGAGAACATTTATTTGATTAACCTTAATTCTCTATTCTGGAATTGGAAATTAGAAATAAGAAATAACAACCAACCTTCTCAAGATCGTTGAGCTTGTCGTGTAGCTGCTTCTTTTCAGTCTGGACCTTAGAAACAGAGGACTTCACCTCTTTTACTTCTTCTTCAAGGCCAGAGATGCGTCCTGAGGTTGATTGAAATAAGGAAATTAAATAAGGAATAAATGTATTCCAGTGAGAGTTAACACTACAAGAAAACGCACCTGAACTGCTCAGTTTCAAACAAAAATGATTCTAGGTAAGATATGATATACTCCAGCACCTCCAAAGTGTGAAAAACAAAAACACTTAATGTTTATTTTCCTTCAACTAACTCCACCCACATGGAGAGTGTTACGAGGAAAAAAGCATGAGGCATCGCAGCAAACAGGCAACACTTTTGTTTGACTGTGTCCCCTCTAACCTCATCGACTGGACTCTCTGTACGTGTGCACGTGTACGTTTCCAAACATCGTCTCACAAGAGGTGCTGGCTCTGCTCCGTGTTTGGCTTTCACAGCCTCTTGCTTCTCTCTCGGCCTTTTGACTAGATGTTTCCACCTATGATCTGATATTTCCCAAGGCCCGGTCCAAAAATGATTAATAATACCAAGCCTCCAGCTCCAAGTTGTGTAACGCCAATTGTCCTGCTACTGTGGAGATGTTTACTGAATAAAGATCACAATTTGATTACCTGCAGTTATCGCAGTGAATGAACCTTTCTGACTAATATTGCCAACATCATAACATTTTAATTAATGCATTAGAGTTTGGAAGTAATGGTTGGCTGGATGCTTCGGGGATGACTATTAAAGACAAATGTAACCACATTTCAACAGTGTTTTTGATTTGCTCATCTAAATAAAGACTGTGGGCAGACCTTGTGGAGGTGTCAGGGGGGGTCCAAAACTGGAGCTTAATAGTGGGCCACAGGCCAAAAAGCACATAACTATTGTACTCTATTGCATTGTTAAAATAAAAATGGATGCTATGTTTCCTAGATCCAAAGTTAATTGTAATATATTTGTCTCTGTGCCACTGTCTCACCATTGTCTTCCTCATGCCTTTGACTTCCTTTGCCCCCCAAGCTCAGATCATGAAAAATATCAAGATCATTTGGCAACCCGACACATTTTAAAAATATTCATAAATGGCCCCTATTTTAGATTTGTCACCTTCTGTCTGAAACCAGAGCTCAGTTTGCTCTGATTGGTTAGCTGTCCTGCTCTGTTGTGATTGGTCAACCGCCTAGGGATGTCCCGACCCTAAGCTTTACCCATACAATGTATTGGAGTGCTAGCCAATAGAACCGCAGGTGTTACATAGTGATGTCATAATGTAAACGAAGTAAACAAAGTAGTCCAATGAAGGAATGGGGGTGTGTGATATAAACTCAAACTGGGAGGGGATTTCAGCCTTTGAGGCATGCACAAAAACCTAGATAACTCACTACAGGAAAGGGCAAACCACCTGTGTGCCAACTTTGGACCATGGGCCCCACTTTGGGCAGTCCTAGTTCCAATGGACTATTTAACTTAGACAATGTTACTTTTGTTACAAAGCAGTCAATGTAGCAACAAAAGACAGATATATTTTAATGTTTAGTAGTTAGCTTAAACGTTAAGCCTAGGTGAAGTTTAAAAGCCAAGTCTCACCCTGCAGGTCAGTAATAGTTTCGGTCCCGATGCTGCGGCCCCTCCTCTCCTCCTCCAGCTCGGCCTGCAGCCCCCTCAGCTGCTTCTCCAGCTCCTGCTTGCTGTTTTCGAGCTGTCTGCACTTTTCCTGCATCTCCCTGAGGCTGAGCTCCAGGCACTGAGCCTGTTTCTGCGCCTCTGCCTGACTCTTCTTCAGCCGCGCTGCCGCCTCCTGCTCAGCCAGCAGCACGGCGTTGGCCTCCTCGAGCTACAGACCAGAAACAGGAAGGGTGAAACGTTTCCCTGCAGGCTAAACTGGGTCAGCGCAGCAGCAAAATTAAAAGGGATTTAAATGAGGGAAAAGCAGAGGAATAAAGCAAACCGTTTCTTGCTTTAACACGGATTATAACATTAGAATATTTGATTTACATTAATATGTATCCTACAGTGAAGCAATTTAAAACAGTTAGCTGGAGTTAAAGGCTCCCCCTCACTTGTCTCTGCAGCTCGATGTTCTTCTCATTGAAGATCTGGGAATTCTGGTTCTTCTTCCTAAGATCCTCTAGCTGGTCCCTCAGAAGGTTCACTGAAGATACCGACACATAAAAGAGTTAATGCAGTATGTGATATAACACATTCAGAAGATACGGAATACACCACCGACTAATAGCCAGCACATAAAACCATATATACTGTGAAAGGAACACTGGTATGTGGAGCTCCCATATATCCTTGTGGTTAATTAAAATGTTTAATGATCAACTGTAGGAGTCAGACTGCTATGTGAGACCTATTTTGCAAGTTAAATATATGAAAATTAGAACAAATTAAGACCTACATGGATTCTGACAGCAATAATTTCTGCGTATGATAAAATACCATTGCATTTAAGAATAAGAAATGCATTTATTAATCCTTTTGGGGAGTTTCATGCCTCAATGTTCAGATTTAATATTCCCCAGGTGCTCACATTCGTTCTCCAGGCTGCGTTTCCTGTCCGCTTCCATATCCACCTTGCGCAGGTTTTCAGCGCTCTGGTGCTGCAGCAGCGCTTGCTCTCGCTCAAGCTGCCTCAGCGAGGCCTCCACTTTCTGCCTGCTACTCATCTAATGGGGGAAATCACAGAGCGTCAGTGGAATGAAGTACCTACTTTATCACATGTATATGGATTAAATAGGATCAATCCATCCTTACCTCCTTGTCTAACTCTTCCACAAGCTTGTCTAAACGGTTGTTGGCATTTCTGGTAAAGAAATAACAGTTTTATTACAGACTTCTTCCCATGAATCATTCAATAAAGAGCACTATAACAATGGTACTATTTGTTTAATTATGGTTAAAAGTGATTTTATTTTCTGTTTCTTTCAACATTGTCCATTATGAGAAAGTCTCAAAACTCTATCTCTGTGGGATGTCACTAAGCATTCAAGAACATTTTCTGCTTTCAACACTGGATAGCACACAACATGAAATCAAATTGAGTAATTATACTATATAATAAAATGTACATTTAGAATTGATCACTTTAATTATACCTGCACAAACTTTAAAATGTTGGTTTAAATTAGATGGTTATGTCATTATTTATAAAAATCATATCCGCTAAGTGCAAAAGGTTTGAAACATTTGCAAATTATTTCCTCTTGTATTAACAAGTTTATAAGTTCGGAATAAGTATTACATAAAAAAAAGGGTTCAGTATTGTTATTTGTCCGGTCTTACTTGCACTTGTGCTCCAGCTCATCTTTGGCCTGCATCTCATGGTAGACCTGCTCCTCAAGCTCATGAAGCTTTTTCAGCAGCTGCTCAGACAGATAGAAAATAAAAATGGTATTAGATAAGAGTAATTTCCATGTTTGTTTTTATCCTCTTTTACCATAATATTAAGACAAGAAGCCCACCTCTTTCTTACTGTCCGAGCAATGATCCTTTTCCTCAGAGTTTTCCTTACTCTCCTCTGAAACCTCCACAGAGCAGTTATTATTTACCTTCAGCAGCCTGACAGATAAAGAAGGAAGTGGAGAACCGTTAATGTCTTCAGCTGAGATCACTTGTGGAGCCTTTCCAGCCCCAACAGCATCCAAGACTACCCACATGTCCACATTTCTACAACCAAGTGACGCATTTGATCCAAACCAGAACCATTATGCCAACTGGGCTCTCATGGGAAACTCAATATTCTCGCCAAATGTATTGCATTATTATATTCATGCATTAAGCAAAACACTGTGGTGCTGTGAAGAACAAGCAGGAAGGACTGAGGATATTTTAAACTTCCTCATCTGGATTAGTTTACCTTTGGAGAAACCCACACTGCCAACTGTTTACCAACATGGTGGTGGACTAGTCATGGTGGGCAACTATCTCTCTCCCTGGGAAACATTACATGACTCTGCCACATGGCTTCATAATGACAAAGTAAAGCCATTTTTTTGGCACAATCTTTAGAAGACAATTTGTGCTTCAACAGATTTTGCCTGTGTTCATAATTCTAAAAATGGAAATGGATGCATACATACAGCCAACAGAAATGTTTCTTACGTCCAAGAAATGCTGACCTTGAGCCTTTTTTTGTATTGCTTGCTCATCATTCATGTATTATTAAGAATGTATTCGTAATTTTTACCAGCGGCCGTATACATTTGATTGATGGTCATTTACTGACTTAAATGTCATCGTTTGCCCTCGTTTCCATTTAGTCAGATTCATGTAAAATAATAAATTGCTTGCACACAATCAGTTGAATGCTGTATGAATAAAGCCTTACAAAAACATAACTCGAGGTTTAAAAAAATGCTGAAAAAAGCACAATAGGATCATAAATCTGCTACGTTTTTTTGACTACTTCTGCAACCAAAAGAGAGCAGTGGTTAAAAAACTCCATCATAAGCAAAGGTATTTAAAAAGGGGCTGTCAGAACAAGGCTGCAGTGTGGAGCAGGAACAGGCATACAGTGTCTGACTGCTGTAAGGCTGTATTAAAAGGTAAGGGTGTGAAGCTGTCTTCTCTCTCTCTTGCATTACAGGCACAGTGCTGTCCTTAAACCTGCTTTCTGAGACTAGTACATATTAAAGTTCCCACACAAAAAGAGCTACATTTTGATTTTGTTAAATTACCAAAGTGTACTATCAAAAATATCAGCAATCCAGACACAATTTCCAGGCACAACAACAGCGACAACCTGAAACACTTACTGGTCCTCTTTGAAGTAAGTAAAGCCGATGAATGGCAGCTGGTTGCCCACAAAGGCTTTGGGTGGAGGAAAGGTCTCAACATCCTTTTTATCAACCTCTACTTCGTCAAAGTTGCTGGTGTCGATGTCGCCGCTCAGCTCAGGCACAACTGGAGCCACAGCTGGACGACAGAAAGAGAGAGAAAAAGAGAGAGAGAGAGTCATGGAGAAAAGAGGGAGAGGAGGAGGTGCAAACCAAAAGGGGTTAAAATAACAATGTTTTTGACACAAACTTAAAGATTAAAATCTGGTGGGACAGGTATTTCAATTTACAGTACATATTGAACAGACTAAACATTTTTCAGGTGTTTCTGAGTAAATAATATTCCATGTATAGCTCTACTTGTAGTAAAGTAAGCTCTCTGCAGGTTGGCATGAGTCTGACACCACTCCTTTTCCCACACAGTGCTCGCTTTGTGCCCCACACACGGTGCCTTTCACAAACCTAGCCAGCTCCGGTGAGAAGAGAGCAGGCGTGCCTCACAAAAGTCTGCACAACACAACAGGCAGACAAGAATGTGTCAAAAGAGCCAATCAGATAAAACTAAGCTAGTCCTTTAACCTATAAATAGTTCCTTATTGAGAAAAAAAAGCTGCCATTACGGATCAAATTCCTCACACCAGTGCAATTCTGGCTCTGAGCAAAGAGCTCATTACTGTTAGGTCAAGTCACCCTAACCCTAACCCTCAGGGTGACAAATGTGACTAAAAAATGGTGGAGAGAACGTACAGGGAGAGATCTCAAGTACAGGAATGAAACAAATGAGGGGTAAATAAAAAGAAGACGCAGAACAAAATAAATGCTAAAATGTGGTGAGACAGAAAGAGACACATGGAGGCCCTTGTGGCACGGCTTCCCAGAATGCTCTCTGATAGCGGGCGGCTAATGACAGGCAGCCGTGGCCACAGTGAGAGTGAGAGAGCGGGAGCAATACTCCAAACTGGGGCGCCCCTCTCATTAAAGCAGTCCACACAGGCCACACTGCCTGCCCCACCCGCCGCTACAGGGGTGCTGCCTCCATCCATCCATCCATCCATCCATCCATCCATCCATCCATCCATCCATCCATCCATCCATCCGGCTTCATTTCATCACCCTCTCACTGCTTAATCATCTCTACAAACATGAAGACAACTGGGGGAATCTTCAATAGAGTCCAAACATGGAAAACATGGCCACACTCAGCAGGGAGTAAAGAAATCAGACACACAGGGTTAGGAGGTAAATGCAGCTCTGCGGGATGCCAGACTGGGAGCAGGAGTGTGTGTGTGTGTGTGTGTGTGTGTGTGTGTGTGTGTGTGTGTGTGTGTGTGTGACTGGACAGTGGCACAGCAGTGGTTTTGTGTTACACAGTGCCAGCCAGTCTGGAGTTCAGTCAGGAGTTGTGTCTGTTGTCTTAATCAAAGCCAGGTGAAGCGCAAGAGAAAGAGCCTGTATGTGATTATATACATACACAAGGGTCCTGTTCATATTCCCAATATATATATATATCCCTTTCCTTATTTCCTTCCTTCCTTCTTCAGTGATGTTGACTCTGATACAACTACATAAGGGGAAATGAGCTTCAATATTTAAAAGAATACAGTAAGGTTTGAGCTTAATAACATAACCACCAATGGATGTCATAATGAATGATTAAGGTGATTTGTTTATTGACCCAGATTGGTCAATGTCTTTCATCGTTTTTCTATATCTAAAATAAATGAATTTACTGTATTTTTCATTGTTTGAGACTTTTAATTGAGCATCTCAGTTTTATCACTGCGTATGCTAATATGGGTACTAGAATAATAATAATGATAATAAAATCAGCTTGGTTTGATATTCTCTCAGCTGTCTCTTAGCTATTCTTCTGAAGTGTATGAAGCTGGTTATCCTGTAGGTTTTGTGCATCATGTTTTCTGCTGCTCTGCACAGCATTCACCAATATCATTAAAAGATGAAGATATGGAGAGCATGTAGACCATATATGCAGGCCCTAATGGCTGAGGAGATGGAAATGAACTATGAACTCAGGCTGAAAAGACGCATATCTGCAGAGGAATGGGCGAGAGATGATAAGAAGTACAACCAAAAATAGAAAGCAATAGAGGAATGGCCATGAATGGTGGAAAAGGAAGTACATTTCTAGAAATGGAAAAGTCTGCACCTGCATTGTAGGGAATACAAAAAAACATAATATTCTAAACTTGCACACACTTACTCTCTCGGATGTTGTCAAAGGTCCACTGGTCGTTCTTGAAGAAAGGGTGGCACTTTATCTCATCCACTCCGGTGCGACCCAGACGAACCTCCCTGCACACAACAACAGGACAGGAGTGTGAGCAGAGACTGAACACAAAACACACCTCGCTCGTCCACTCCACCCACCGTCACCATCAACATGTCATCCCGAAAACACAGGCAAGCAGAGTGACTACTAGGCGCTGACCACACTGACCAGTATGGACTGCTGTATGACCGCTGGTGGGCACTGGAACCTCCTCCAACCCAAGATAATGTAGATCCAAGAGGAGAGGAGTGAAGACAGCAGGATCAGAGCACAGGAGCCAACATCAACAACTCTCACTGACTCAAACACTGACTGCTAGTGCTGACTTCCCTCCTTCTCCTCTCTCTCTCTCTCTGTGTGTAAAAGTCTACAAACACTTTTAGTCTCTCTTTCTCACCCCCCTTTCCTCCCTCTTCCAGAGCTGGGTACAGGACCGGAGGGGTGCGGCAGTTTGGGATTGCCACGTGTGGGACATTCCAGACCCAGCCAAGAGGAAGAGAGGGCAGGGGCGGGGAGGGAGAATGCTTTTAAACCTCCGCAAAAAAAACAGGCCATGTCTCATGCCCAGAAAACTGCATGAGTGTTTAGGAGAAAAGCTACGCCAGAGAAGGACAAGGATGAAGAAACAGAAAGTGGCACCAAGAGAAGGTAGAAGAGAGAGAATTATACATGAGGAGTGATGAAAAACACATGGGAAAAGAAGGGAAGGAGGTGTGCTTACAGGAGTGACTCAGCAGGACAGTGACAGAGCATGTTGGTTAAGTGGTGAATGTATCGGTCAGTGTTTCAGTGTTCAAGCTGTGTGTGTGTGTGTGTGTGTGTGTGTGTGTGTGTGTGTGTGTGTGTGTGTGTGTGTGTGTGTGTGTGTGTGTGTGTTGCTGGGCAGCCTCACATGTGAGATTCTGTCTGTGGTGAGAGAATGGTGAGTGAGAAGGTAAATACACTGAGTGAGGAAAAATGAAAGGACGCTCTGTATTGAAGCAGAATGGGCCTGTGTTTGAGTCCACTCGGGGGCGGGGCTACTAATGTAAACAGGAAGTGGTACATGACCGTCACACTCACGTTTTAATAATAATATTTGATGACACATGTCAAAATGGCACTATGGTTGCTGGGATCAGCACTAGCCAGACTGAAGTTGCTGATATGGTTTTACGCAAACTGATTAGTATTAGTTTTATTTAAAGTATTTTTCTGGCAATATTATATTTTGGGGGTTTTGTCAACAAATCTATTGGAAAGAAACAAACATAACCATGAATCAATCTTACAAACAAGAGTTGATTGTTTAATCAAATCTTGACTTAGAGTAACTCCTCTCTACCATAGCTCTCCATTTCCCTCTAAAAGAATATTCATCAGTGAGCCACACCATTACACTGGTTTCATTTCTCTTCATTAAAATGAACACTGCATACTGTTGTTTTACACATGTGTTAAAAGCTACAGTGCCCAGCTGTCTAATGACACCATGTACTAACGAAGGGTTGTGCTAGGTGATTTTTGTCAGTTTTAGCTAACACAATTCTAACACTGTTTATTTAAGCCGTTGCTCATCCCAAATGGGCGACCACAGCCCGGTGTGAATTCAGTGGTAGGTAACAGAGATGAAGTGTCATATTCACTCCCATGGTCCAAACAATGTCACTGCATTACTCCATAGTCATAGGCAGCCTGAGGTTATGAAATGCTCTGAATTGATGTTAAAGTGTTAGTTTATATGATTTCCATGTGCGAACCTGTCAGTAAGAAAGGCACAGATGAGGTCTCTGGCGCCTTGAGACATCTCTTTGTCCTCTGGGAAGACGAGGGAGTTCTTGTGGTTCATGATCTTCCCATATGTTCCAATCAGGGACTCAGTATAGAAGGGAGTATCACCTGGGAGAGAAGGAGTTCACAACAAATAGATTGTTAGGATGGAAATGTGTAGGATTTTAACTGCCAAACAGTATAAAAATGATGATGATGATGAATATGGCGAGTCACTTACCGACTAGCAACTCATAGATAACGATTCCTACGGACCACCAGTCACACTCACGGCCGTAGTGACCATGACCGCCCTGAGACTGAAGCACCTCGGGGGAGATGTAGTCCGGCGTGCCTACAGCTGTGTCACAGTGCACCATGCCTGTCTGCAAACACAAAAACACACACAGTTAACTATAGGGAGAAAGCTAGAATTGGATTTCAGTGAGAGGACAGAATAAATGCAACATACTTCCACAGACATGATGCAGGAACCATGACCACAACACACGTTACTCTTTTTAATGACCTCTCAAAATGTTTCTGGTTTAAAATATCTCAAATTTTAACAAATGCTCCAGATATTCTGAGACAAATGTTTATGGGACACTGTCTGCCTGCTGGAAGACTTTCAGAGAGCTCAAATGTGTGCAGCCACTTGTTGAACCTGCTATAGAAATTGCTGTGGTCAAAACAAAAAAGCTGGAGCAAAACCTCCTGACTCACAGCAGAGGCGGGACATCTGTTGTTCTCTAGAATGTATGTTTCGCACAATAACTGCTGGGGCCTTTTTAAAACAACCAAATGCAAGAATGCCAGATTGAGCTTCACTTTGCAACCTGAACACTTGGTGGTGCACTAGGGCAGTGGTTCTCAAACTTTTTTCAATAATGTACCCCCTTTGAAAAAAAAATGCAGCCAAGTACCCCCTGATCAGCGCAAAAACAATTTGTTAAGGAAAAAAGCCTATATAAAGTGGTACAGTACAGCGCTGCACCATCAGTGTCTGATTTATTAAAACAACAACATTGTAACTGAGAAACACTTAAATGCTACATTTCAAATGTTTACAATCCATCACTAAATTCATGGCAAACCAATTTTAACATCATGCAATACCACTAAGACGACATTAGTTGCATTGAACTGATCTTTTTAATAAGTTGTAGTTAGAATGTAGAGAAACATGGGCTTGTGCTTCACTGAGGATCTTTGTTATTCTGACAGGGAGGCAAACTGTAGTTATTACACTTTGCATTTTGAAATATGTGTAACTCTGTTAATGTAAAACCCACACTGCTCAAACTTTGTTACTTTTCCTAAAATTGGTATATTTATATATTTATTGTGGGGCGTGGGGAATGAAGAGAAAAAATATATGAGCATTTTATGCATAATGCTGCGCTATACTTTGCAGCCACAAGCCGTTGCCAAGCAACGCTTATCGTTTAGGTCCTTTGATAAGCAGGCAATCATATAATTAGCTAGAACTAGCTAGATCTGATAGATTTGGACATAAACGCGAGTGAAGTATAACCGGACGCGAGAGAGATCAGAGATCAGATCAGCTGCTGCTGACGGAGAACACGCAGCTCTGCATGATCACAGCTCCGCACTAAGAGTTAGACCTAACACACTTAGCTAGTTTATTTACTCTGGAACTAGCTATACTAGTTATAAATATGTGTATTCTTATCTTTACTGTCGGGTCACTTATTACAGGTTCAGTGAGCTGCACGAGACTGACGGGCTGTCAGGAGAGGGAGAGGAAAAGAGAGCACCCCGTTTATTGTTCCCATTTTATTATCCAGAATTGCTGTAAACTTTCGAATAAAGTAGTTCATCTACTATTAGTAGTTTGTTTAAATGCATTACTTATGTTGTTTTTTTCATTGACATAAAATAAATCTCACGTACCCCCTGCAGTACTCCAACGTACCCCTAGGGGTCCGCGTACTCCCATTTGAGAACCACTGCACTAGGGCATGAAAAAAAGGCCACCAGTATTTATAGACAGAAAAGAACATTCAATCTATATTCAAATCCCGGTTTTCATCAAAATGAAAGAGCTAAACAGTCAAAAATGCGCATATTTCCACAACCTTATCCCTTATCCAGGTCCCAGACATTTGAAAACAACACCACACCTTTAACACGGTGACCTACCGAGTCCATCTTCATGCACGTGCCGAAATCTGCCAGTTTGAGGTGTCCGTGTTGGTCGAGCAGCATGTTGTCAGGTTTCACATCTCGATGGATGAAGCCCATGGAGTGGATAGCGTCCAATGCCAGCACTACTTCAGCCGTGTAAAAGATAGCCCACTTCTCAGGTATGTCGTAGTTCATGGTGAGCGTGACCAGGTCGCCTCCGGGCATGAACTCCATCACCATGTAGAGGTGGCGGTCGTCTTGGAAAGCGCAGAACAGCTGCAGGGCACGATAAACACAGTCACTTAATGTGATTGAAATTCCAACTTGAGATGTCATGCCATTACTTTGATACAGACTACACTACAAGGAGTGGCTTTGTTATTTCTGGATGATTTGTGACTCAGATAAAACAGACTGTTATGGACTACTAACTCCAATTTGATGTCAACATCACATCACAAGGTTATTAATCATGTGAAAAATAATTAGATAGTATATTACTTTACTAGAGTAAATCAAATTAGGAATATATTATAATAATGATATTATTTTAACAGACTGCTATGGCCACATTTCAGGCATCCATCCATCTTCTCCCACTTATCCGTGGTCGGGTCGCGGGGGTAGCAGTTCCAGCAGAGAGCCCCAAACTTTCTTTTCCCTGGCGACATCAACCAGCTCTGACTGGGGGATCCCAAGGCGCTCCCAGGCCAGCGAAGAGATATAATCCCTCCACCTGGTCCTAGGTCTACCCCTTGGTCTCTTCCCAGCTGGACGTGCCTGGAACACCTCCCTAGGGAGGCGCCCAGGTGGCATCCTAACTAGGTGCCCGAACCACCTCAACTGGCTCCTTTCGACGCGAAGGAGGAGCGGCTCAACTCCGAGTCCCTCCCTGATGACCGAACTTCTCACCTTATCCCTAAGGGAGACACCAGCCACCCTGCGGAGAAAACCCATCTCGGCCGCTTGTATCCGCGATCTCGTTCTTTGGGTCATGACCCATCCTTCATGACCATAGGTGAGGGTAGGAACAAAAATGGCCCGGTAGACAGAGAGCTTTGCCTTCTGGCTCAGCTCCCTTTTCGTCACAACGGTGCGGTAAAGCGACTGCAGTACCGCTCCCGCTGCTCCGATTCTCCGGCCCATCTCACGCTCCATTGTTCCCTCACTCGAGAACAAGACCACGAGATACTTGAACTCCTTCACTTGGGGTAAGGACTCATTTCAGGCATAGTGATGTTTAATGATAACATTTGTTTTTTGGAAAATATAATATATTGATTTCTAATTGCATTGCCCCAATGACATATGAAGCAAATATTGATGATATAAAAAGAGTAATCAAACAGGAAATGTAATAGATATAATCTTGATGCCAATCTTTGAAGAATCAACATATTTCAACTGTGTAAGAAAGTAAACATTCTTATCTCAATAACATGCTTTGAATGGGTTTAATGAATAACAATAAAAACAAAACACGATGGCTTGATGGCTAGAATTAATATTTAGCCAATTTGGTATATTTGCAAAATCTTCTCTTTCTCTTGAAGTGAACTATGCAACTCATTTGTAAAGACAGGGGATAAAGAAGTTTTAAATAAAAATCATAACAAAACTTAAGCAGACAGGGGGACCAGACTGAATATTTAAACGATTCTAATTATATTTGGTAAACTATCTTATCAAATCAAGTTTTATTTATATAGCACATTTATAAACGATTTTTGGTCGAGCCAAAGTGCTGTACATAAAATAAAAATAGCCTTAATCTTAAGCATGATACAAATTGTATTGTGTGTATTTACAAAGGGGTCAAACCATTATCAAAACACTCTTTAGGGTCTTCACTGTAAGAAGGGCGTGTGACAGAGCACAGGCTTATTTCTGTCATGGTTAAATGTTTCATCCTAACACTATGTTTCATACTTTGTGATTTCAGTAGAATAAAAGCCGGTGAAGGAGCCCACCTGTACGACCCATGGACTGTTGGAATAGGCCATGATGTGCCTCTCCTCCCAGAAGAAGGCAGAGTCTGACCGCTTTATCATCTCAAACTTGTTAAGCTGCTTCATGGCGTAAACCTTTCGAGAGGCCTTGTGACGAACCTGCAGCCGAGGAGGACAAAGAAAAGAGAGGGGACGTTGGCGTGTAAACAGCAATAACTGCGCCGAGACAATCAGAACAAGATGGTAAGAGTGTCTTAATGACCATAGATAACATGGAACAGAGGGAGAGAGGGGAACCCATAATCGAAGGCACACGCCCTTAGAAAGACATGCTTACACAAGAATTCAAACACAAACACACGAAGCATCCCCTCCAAACCCCCACAGCAGACTTCACGCTCCCCTCCCACACACTGAGCCTGTCCAGACTCGTTTCTACCACAAGATGCTCAGCAGAGACCAGATTCAAGCTTCCACCAGCACCAGAGACAGACATCTGGATAAACTGGGGCTTTGCAAGGACTTACTGCTTGCCCTAATTACTTTTTTTAAAACATAATGAAGGCCATGATGAGGAGAAAGGTGGCAATTATACTTGGAACACCAACAACAAGTTGCAGATGTTACATATTGCATATTTTTGGTAGATTAGAAAGATTGTTGCTCCCTCTAGTGGTTCACATTTCTAGTATTTTGGTGCTAAAATGGCTGAATTGATCTGTATCTGCTCCTGCTCAATTCCCCTTAATATCACACAGCACCATTGCAGCGTAATTAAAATAATAACACCCTTTATTTATTGACAAAGACTTCTCACCAGTCGCACTTCTCCATAGGCTCCTTTTCCGATCAACTTCACTTTGTCGAAGTCTTCAAGCTTTACCTGCAGCTCTCGGACTTGACTCGCTGCCTTTTCATCTGCAGGAAAGATAGATGTGTTACTATGGCAACACACAGGTCAAGCTTCAACAATTTAGCGTCAGAGTAAAAATGTTGCACAGGGACAGAAATGTTCCTCGACTGACCAAAGTGAAAATGTAAAGTAACCAGTCAAAATTGCCCTATTATGCTAATTTTCAGGATCACATTTTATTTGTGCCTATTTTGTGACAAGTTTACATGCTTTAATGTTCCAAACTGGCTTTATTTTACATTTTAAAACCCTAAAAAGCATAATAGAGCCCCTTTAAACCCACAGTATTTTTCGAAGAGAAAGACAGGTTAATAGTACTGGGGTTGGAGGACATGCCGATGTATTTATCTTATCTTACATAAGACACATTTTAGCCACAGGTTGACCCATGATGGTAATGTCTTTGTTTTAAGTTCAAACAGAGTAAAGAGCAACAGATTCCACAACAAATTGATTAAGCAAAAAAGTCTGTACAAAAGTGACACATATCTAACTTTTAGCGATGTTTTGGCTGTAAAATCTATCAGGGCTGAACAGCAGTTGATTTGAATACCAAATCATGCTACAGAAGTGTTTATTCATGTTTCTTATCTTTTCTGTGACCTTTAGCTGAAACACCAACTACTGTAAATACAACACTTTGATACAAGGTGGCAAGTTTTAACTCGTTTAAACTAGTTTGTGGGCAATGACAAACAAGAAACCTACTCCGTTCCTCGTGACCAGAGTGATCTGTTTTGTACTTTCCAACTTTATAGGTATTTTTCAAGCTAAGCACGAGAATCTTGACCTTCACCAAACACACTGTAGCTCTTACATCGGCTCAGAAACGCCTCTATGTTTTTGTTTTTCCTCAGGGCAGGATAATTCAGATCATGAGCCAGCGCGTTCATGGAATCCTGAAACACAGAAAAGACAAAACATTGGGTTAACTTGAAACAAACAAATGAACAGAAACACAGTATGGATTTTTTTTAAATATATTTAACTTCTAGCTCTACCTTTGGTCTAGTAACACATTATCTAATAATGTCACTCTCATACCTCCCATTTTAATCAATATGTTGTGAGTTTATTATTGCTTGGGTTTTGCTGAACTAACAACAAGAGAAACATCTAAGTATAGTCATGTTTTCAAGCTGATTTGTTTATTCTGGGGAAGGGAATATATGTTTTTACGAGTCTTTCTTTAGTCCGTCAGGACAAGTCTTGTAAGGCAATCCTGACCTTCTGCTGGCTGATGAAAAGATAACTGAATGAATGGAGGAAGGAAAGAAGGAAGGAAGGAATTACATTCGTATAGGCTGCATGCTCCAATATGCAACATTAAAAGGGAAGAGAAAATGAGACTGCTAATGTGCCGAATAACAAAACAAGGACAAGGAGGACAATGGAGGTTTGCTGTAAAGACATAACAAGTCGAACAACAATAACTAGTCACACGGTGCTGTTGCAGCCCCCTGCCCAAACACAGATCCATCCTAACACACACAAACCCCTCCCGACGGCTTAACACAGGGCAGCGGCAGACTAAGAGCTGCAGCCTCAATAGTGTCATCAGTGCTCAGATCAGCGGTGTAGAGTTTCACTTAGAGGCACCATGTCTCTTTGATTCAAACGCATGAGGCTGGCAGGGCAGGTGTGGGGGGGGTGGGATTGGGGGGTGGTATGACCCTAAGTTCCCCAGAAACAAGGGTCAAGTAGAGACATCCAGTGTGTGTGTGGTAGAGCCACAGCGGTGTCTGTTTGTTAGGGGACGTGTGGGTGGGTGGGCAGGGGCATGTGGAACAATTCTGCACCTTTAAATAGCAGCGATGCGGAGAGATCTCCCCCACTGCAGACGGGTAGAAATAGACCAAAAGGCTCAGAAGTTATTGTGGGACAAACAGCTTATGATACTGAATTCATGCTGAACGCTCGAGGATCTGTGATCATTTTACACCGTGTGTGTGTGTGTATAACTGCCATGGTAACTGCAGTAGCAAGGGAACTCAACAGACTGCGAGATATGTTGAACTCTATATACATGTGCAAATTATACCTAATTATAGCAAATTCAAATTAAACTTTTGGAGTTCCTTGGGCTACTTTTTTTTGGGCTGCTGCATCTTGTCATGCTTCCGTTTGTGAAACATTAAGGCTGAACGCGCCCATTTTTTATTAAATCACCTGGAACAGAAAATAGGAGTATACATGTAAATGTTTAAAGAGTTAAAATGTGTCTGCCACCAATGCTGGAGCTCTGTACCAACTCTAAATCCAGCATTAAATCTAATAATGAATTTCAAAAACGTTTTACTTCCGTGTCAAATCTGTCACAAACGAACACATTAAAACAAGTTTGGACAGATAGCTAAAAGGAACCCTGAGGAGTTTTTAACTAAATGTTTTTTTTTTCCACTGGTGAAACTACAGTGGGTCACAAGGACATACCTTCACACACACAAAGATGCCGTCAACACGATACCGGTTTTACACTATTGCACTATCAACAGTTGGCAGGGATGCAAAATGAACGCAGCGAAGCAAGAACAGAGGCAGTCAGGAAGAAGACTACCAGGTAAACATGGATGTTAACATTGCACAGTTACAAATTCCAACATTTTGATTTGCAAATGTTTTACGAGTGATACACTCAATAGGTGAGTTTTGTACATTTCTCTTTATTAATGAAAAAAATATTATAAATGTGCTCATCAAATCTGCCTATTTGACCAGCTTCCTGAACCCAACCCTGGCTGCATCTCACTTGTCTTATTTTTAATTTCCTCGCTCCTCGGTATCACCAGAAGTTGATTTGTCGGCGCCATCTTGAGTAGCGTCCCAGTGGCCTTATTTGTGCCGGAGTACCGAGGATCGAGGAGCGATAATCGAGGAATCACCAGACCATCCTCCGGTGAAATCCTCAGGCACTCGCCCCGCCCCCTTACTGCGTATCGCTCACTGATTGGACGATGCAGCGCATGCACTGATCTGTTGCTTCTTGACATGAGAGCTAGTGATGGGAATGATGGCTCTTTGAAGAGAGCCGGATCGTATGGCTCCGTTCCTTTGCGAGAGCCGTTCAAAAGAGCAGATTTGTTTTTTATGGGGGCGGGGTTAATAGGTTTATCTGCGAAATATACCTTTTATAATTCAATCAAATGTAGCCCTGTTTTGACTAATGATTTATATGTGTACACATATATAACTTAAATTATTCAATACATCCTTTGTACTGAAGTATTCAAAAGTAAAAATTACTTGGCTTGTTCGCGGGGGCGAGCCGGCTCCCGTCGTTCACTTAAAAGAGCCGGCTCTTCAGTTTCCCAGCGGAGTGAAGAAAACACATGAACCTCATGTAAACAAGTATTTGCGAGGAATACCTTTATATGATCATTATAGTTATTAAAAAATAAGAGAATAAAGGAAAAACGGGTATGAAATACTATAGGACAGTAACACAAGAATACAGTTTAAAAGGGGAGTGATTAGTAAAGAAAAAGTAAATCTGTGTACAGTTCTGTTTCATATGGATGCTGAGAGATGTAGGCTATCCATAGATCTCTTCATGTTGCTCTCAAAGTGCACCAGATTGATGCATTTAACTTCAATATTTAAAAAATAATCTTCCCGGGGGAGCATGCCCCCGGACCCCCCTAGAGGAGGTTAGGTCCACCCCCACCTAAAACATGTTCACATGGATAGGATACTAAATACATTTGCACACTTTTTGTATGGTGGCCTATGTCCATATGTTTCGGTTTTGGTGGTCGTGCCACAACCGTGCATGCATGCACAAGTCATAGGTGCGCTATACAATAGCACTACACCCTGCAATATGTGTGAAAAACAATATACGGGACTCACTCCTCAGTTTATCCTGTGTTTTGTTTCAATTCATGGATCATTTAGTTACAAATATGTGATCTGAACAACAAAGTGGTCAAAAATAATTGTATTCATTTATGGGAAACATTTTCACGATCGCTTTTTTCGTTTTACATTTTCATTTATTGTCATTTCCATTCAGTCAGTCATTAAGTGCTATTTAAAATGTTAATTTGCTACATATCCAAACAAACAAACAAAGTGTGCAATCCAATGAATGTTAATCTAACTGGGTTTTGATAGATAACATATCTCTTTTTCTTCTCTCAATTATTTTATTTCTATTGTGCACTCTAATCAATATTAATCAAACTATTGTTCGTTCATACATTTTAAGAATGGCATTTATCTTTTTTGAGAACGAGTTCTTCTTTTATTTTATTTATTTGGGTCTACAACAGATGATACAAATGTTTGTGTCAGTAAATGTGTAACCTACTAACAGAGGCGGGGGTGTTGAAAATAACGGGGACAGAGCTGGCTGCTGTCAGACGATCAGCTGCGCGCCGTCATCACAAACGGACGTCGCTTCATGTGACGCCGCTTCATGTGACGCTCCGGAAGAAAGGACGTCCCATTGCTCTTAAAACTCATTTCCCTGCTTCTCGTGGTTTCCTTGCGTCTCTCCATGCTTCCCTGGTGGGAGGGACTAAACACAGGGAAACGACGCAAGTGAGGGACGCAAGGATTCCATTTAACCGAAGTGAGACAATCCCAAAACAGCCTGATTTATAAGTTCCAGCCTTAACAATTGATAAACATAGGATTTTTTTTAATTTACCATACTGTATACTTTGGGCTTTTATCAAAACTCACATGTGATTTAAGCAAACTACGACTGGGGGTTCCCTTTCTAATTTTTCTTGGAGGAAGGATGTTGGACCAAGAATAACCTGAAGCTTGCTATAATTAAGAAGGAATTGCCAGAATACCAAGGGGTTAATGTCAAGGAACACATGTATTACACTGATAAAAAGAGGTATTAGATCTTATTCATTATTCTTGTTGTGATAGGTGTGACTTATTTGCTGATAACATCAACTACGTATTAACAATTAAGTCAAGTAAGTCATCACATGTCATCTAAGCGAGAGTGCTAGGTTCAGAACAGCTAGAGCATAAAATAATGAGATCTATCTGGTTTGATTTTCTCTTCAGGCATCTAAACAAATCTGAACATGATCCTGGAGTTTGGTTGTGTCCTCCTCAGACAACACCTCCCACCTCTGTGAGCTGATACTGCCTGAGCACAGTCAGCAACAATGGAGAGCTTCTTCAAATCGAACTGTAAGCCGTGCTGATCCAAAAAGAAATACAATCAATACAGAAAAAGTTCCGACAGCTTATCTTCTCAAAAGCTTAAATCGACTCAGAATCAAATCATTTTCCTCTACAGATAAACGAAATGCCAAAAAAAACATATTTTGTGCCAACACAACAAAGATTATTGTGGACAAACAGGAAATAGTGATGTGAGGTCATGGAAGGTTTACTCCATCTCAATTCCAGGATGTGACCTCAGCTTCCTGTGTAGCAGCTCCCTGCGTTGGGGAGCCATTGTTAGGACCACTACAAAGCTGCTTGAAACAACATGCAGATGACTAGAAATAAGACTGAGAATAATGACTGGTTAGTTTGGGATGATGTGGGCTAAAATGGATCAGTTCACATTGTTATATGTTGTCGTTGAATGACATGAGATTGCTCTGGCTTTACACAAGACCTGTGACTCATCAGCCCTGAGAATAGACATGGTGTCCCCCAGCAGGAAATATCCAGTTGGAAGGGCTGTTCTGTGTAAACAGCCAGTATACACAACATCAAATCCCCTTTAACCGACTCATCTATTCAATAGGTTGACGTGTTTATAATGATCCCACGATAATCTGTGTTCTTCTTTGTGCCAAATTTCCCAAGAATAACCTGACCGCCAACCACAGCTGGTGGCTTCCTGCTATATAAAACCAGTAGCAGCTCAACACATTTCACAGTAAAGTGATTTTTCAGAAATGTTTTACATTGATTATTCCATTTGTTGAGAGCAAGCGTGACGATCGTGTAAAAAAGCATGTTAATCCAGTCAGAAACATGTCCTCGGGTATCTCAGGATTGTTTGGAAGGCAAACTATAACATGTTTTCACTTCCAGAGCGCTTTGTGCACACTTACAAAGTAAAGAAAGTTCTGAGCTGAGGCCTGGTGGGAAATACTGTCAAGACAGAGGCCTAGCAAACAAAAGCTGCTCCATATCAGCTCAAAAGTGTATAATTGTTGACAGAAGTTGAGGCAGATAAGCTGAACAGTGGCAGTATGTTTCAACAAAGTTGGCCCAGTACATTCTTCGGACAGGTTAGAGAGAGGGCACGTCAAATTAGAGGCCACACCAAGAGACTAATCACAAACATACAATGATGAAGTGGCTAAGTAAGATGAATGGCTACAATAATTAGAATCCAGGGCATGCACTCACTGTTAGTAAAAATGCACTTAAATGCCCCTTTTAGAAATGTATCATAATATTGGATAATTATAAACCCCTGTTAATTTCCCTTTTAACCGTAACAGTGAGGATTAAAGTGTATTGACCACAGGAAAAGGAGGCAACACATAGTTTAGGTGGGGTTTCCCCTTCTACTGCATCCCTGACTGAAAGCTAAAGTAATGATTCACAAATGGCAACTAAACTTTTCACAAGCTGTTATCATATAAATATGATGTAATCACTCACTCTTGGTCATCAATGAGTAAGTGGTTTTTTTAGATTGTGTAACTGGTCTAGTCTTTGATTTGTTTACTCCAGCTGTCCTCTGAGACACGGGACACTTCCCTTCAGGTGATCTTTGATCATGACAGACCAACAACTCGGAGCACAGCTATGTGGGCTACGTGTAAGAGTGTGTCTCATAAGTTTGAGTAGTAAGAAATAACACTTACCAGTAGTGTTTCCAAGTTTAGTCCCGACTGTGGATCCCTCATGAGGGACTCCAGCTTTTCCAGCCGGCTCTCCAGTCTGCCCTCGGCTCCCAGCATGATTACAGTGCAGTGTATCCAGGTCAAATGGCATTAAACAGCAGAAATACAAAAACACCTGTAGGCCTGTTTTCAGTCTCGAGACACAGGCGCACACTCCGCTACTGCTTGGCTCTGCTCCTCATGTCAGCTCTTCTGTAAACTGCTTGAGTTGCCAGGTTAATTATTTATCCGCTGCCAAAGTACACTGTTCGGCTCACCCTCCTTCTTTCATTAAAATCTCTCAACAAAGTGTAAACCAAGCGGACTTATTTGAGAGCCAGGAGAAGGCGCGCTCCACTACCTGCTACCAGGTAGATACAACAAAATCTGATCCGACCACAACGTGTCCAACCTGTAGAGACTGCTGCGAAGTCAGACAGCATGACTTCCGGTTAGAACTATCAAAATAAATCTCTAATTAAACATTACACCTTAGAATAAAATGCTGCAGTTTATAATGTTAACAAATATGGTAAATATAAGGCTAGGCTGAATTATAAATAACATTTATAGTACATATTATTATTAACACATTAAAAAGACATCTAAAACCTTAATAATATGTTTATTTAAATGTAATATAACTGTTCTGAATTATGGCTAGTTTATGCACAGACATGTGTTTTATTTAAACATATTTACCGTCTGTTTTCAGCTATTATTTCAACGTGTGTCTTTTTGTGTGATTTCAGCTGAGAAACACATTTTCGAAAAAGCACCATTCCGCATGAAACTCATTATAAAGTTTTATATAACTTGTTTCTCACAATTGTATTTTGAATGAATACATGTTATGCATGCATTTTATACATCAAATCTAAATAATTAAATTATGACAAAATACTACCATAAAACAATCTCATTGGTCAGATTGATTTATGCTTTTATTTTGAAGGCAAGCCCATGTATCCGGCTTATTCTTCCTTAATGTAGGTTACTTGAAAACAAAACACATATGAATGCCATATCAGTTTCTTCTTTCCCTGTGTAGGTGAGTACCGATAAGAGTTCTCCTGTGCAGCAGTTTTGCTCCATATCTTACCCAGGAAAGTTGCCCCTGGCCGGGTCACCACCAGTCCCCTAACTGCCTCCAATCACTGATCCCCCCCCAGCCCTCACCGAGAATTCCTGATCTCTTATCTCATTCATCTCTTTTACCGTCACAGGGCCTCGACCAACTTTCAGTATTTCAGGAATGCTGATGCGCTGCCTTGCAGACACGCTGGCACTAAAAATAGAAAATGACAGGGACTGCCGTGTGCTAGTTGTCCTTATCTACATTTAAACATCTAAAATAATTGTTTTATGGCTATACATTATTAAGGATAATATTTAAATGTAGAAGGTTACAGCACAACACAAGATCAATGATTGGTTGAGATTGACATTTGTTTCTTTTTTAAATAAATGAAAACAATTAAAGAACACAAAACACATTATTTTGCTCTTAGAATAACTTTTATTTATTTTACTTTACAAAGAGGTCTTCACCAAAGCTCTTGGTTACTGAATCTATATTCAAATACAAACAATCTGTGAATAAGCTATTCAGACAGTGGGCTAAATGTTTGATAGGGGAGGTCAGAAAGTACCAATGCATTTCAGGCAACAACAGCAATATCATTTCTGACACAAAAGTATTTTTTTTGTCCAAACATTGGATTAACACACACACTGTATCAGGTCAGAAATGGCAATGATTAAAATGTGCAATAGAACCAACAATGGCAGTCTTTAACAATGTATTTTTAGGCCTCTGGCGTCAGAGCAGAGGACTACTTGTTGACACCCCAGCTATTTGCATGGAGTGATGTCATCACTGACAAAGTCCCCTGGCCAGCCGAGGATGACACTAACATAATGGCATGACCTGTGATGAAGATGTAGGCTGGAATGAGTGGGGAGAGATGTGTCACACACACGCGCACACACATACACACACAAACATTAACCGATAGGCATTTCGTTTTGGAATGATGGCAGGGGTGGGTCACATTTGGAGTTATTCTAGGAGTTGGTAATGATGACTACTTATCCCAGGGGCAGATGAACTCTTCATTAAAAAGAGGCCTTGAAGGGCAGCCTGGGTCCTTTTGACACTGCTGTAATTGATGTAAGGAAAAAATAATGGCAGCGAGATGTTGACGTAAAGCGATTGACTTGGCATTGCATATCCGCTGGCACTGAGAGCAGTGTTATATTCTGTGTACTCATATGGGTTTCAGCAGGCTGCCTATGGGCTTTCTGGTGCTTTCTCAACTAAGGGCAGGTGCAAAGTTACAAAGGCAAACACTGCTCTCTAGTGGGGATCCAGTATATAAACATAAAGACAAGGGGCTTTTAAGAGCTTCCGCACTCACAAAGTACAATAATTACAGACAAAACAAAGGAAGAAATAAAGCACTTTTTTGTGAAAATCTACAGATGCATCATCCATAAATTAATATAACATCATATAGTATCTGTGTGGAGTACAAGAAGAACATCTTACAATGGGACAAGTGTTGAAAAAGTGTCAAAGTAATCTAATCAGGATCATCTCTCATCAGGTATCCGGTATAGCAAAGGAAACTAATACTGATTGCTGCGTATTACAGCATTTGACGGTTGAGTGTAATATTACTTTTTTTGTACTACCAGTCTGATTTTAAGACTTTTATGATCAGATCGAGGGACATTCAAACAAATCTGAATCAGGTAAACTGTCTTGCGCCTGACATGATGCTAAAACATACTCAATTTCTGATTTGCTATCAAATCTTTGGCAGATCATGTGAAAGCTGAGGGACCAGCGTTATCTTTGTTTACAGACCTTCTCAACTAGTAGGTGTCCACTCATATGTTCAATTAAGTTTTCACCTTGTTTTAGAGGTGGCAGAGGGAGAATCCTTTCCCTTTAGAGCCAGGCTCTCTCCCGGCAGTATATAAACTGCCCAATAAAGACCTAATCTCAACAGAAATGGTCTCAGAGTAATCACAGACAATCGGTTGTGAGGGATCAGCTTCAGAACCAGTGGGTTACTGTGTACCATATTTAGGTTGGGCGGTGAGGTGGAGGGGAAAAGGGTATACTATATTCCTGGCTGTCGGTCAAAAAAATAAAAAAGCTCCTGAAGTCTGAGCCCCTGTCGGCCAGGTAACCCAAAACCTGGAGTGGGGAGTCAGCGTGGGATATGGGGAGAGGAACAATGTGGCTCTTTGTGCAAGCCGGGCAAGGAAAACAAACCGTTTCCCCTGGAAAGAGATCATGTTCAGGCTCCATCTGAGAAGACCACACAAGGCTGATCAGAGCCCTGTCTGCTGCATGGAGCAAGGAGAGGAGTAGGAGTAGGAGGAGGAGCGCATCTGGGCAGCCACACTAACACACACAAACACACACACAGACACACTTCAGGGCAATGTCAGACTGGGAGAAGATCTGAGATGCTCCATTTCAAGGGCTCACTGAACACAACATAACACTCCAGCAATACTCTTTGGTCCAAGACAAAACGTGTGACTGTGTTGTGTTCTTCCCTCACGTTGACTTGTGATAATATGGCCATCTGGACTGCTTCCTGTGTTGGCACCCTGCTGGTCTACAGGCAGAGCAACACTCTGGTGGGCTGACAGGCTGAGGGACAGGCTGGAGGGTGTGAACACTGGCGTTGTCCACAAGAGGGCGTGGCACTGAATCTGGCACTGCCATACAGTGTTAAACAGGGAGTCTGTTCATTAGATGGAGAGAGAGGGAGAAAGAGAAATTAGATGTTATAGATTCTGGGCTGATTCTAATTTCAATTTCTAAGATATCTTATATCAACCCCTTCTGCTCTGGTCACTTATTCCTAATCCAGCTATTCTACATAAACGCCAAGAATGAGGCTTTTAGTCATTTCAACACTCAGATAACTGTCGCACAGGGCACAATCAAACTAAGAACATCTGGCCTCTTTCTGTCTCACACACACTAACACAGACCTTCATTCAAACACACACATATTAAACGTAAACACACACACTGTCATGTAAGGGCCAAACCAGGGTTCTGTACTCCCTCTGTCCCATTGCGTTTTAGTTTCAAACGCTCAGCGAATACCCATGTGGTGGGATCAGATTACACGGGGCTATAAAATATCCCAAATAAAGGCAGGGAAAACTGAGACGAAAAAACGGGCTGTTTCCTGAGGTGAAATCCTTCACTTGGCTGCAGATTCTGTCAAAGTGGGAGATGTTTTAAAGACTTTTAGCAGTGGGGACAATGGAACAAGACGGCAATGTTCAACTCAGAGCACAGAGGTGGCGAGCTAAAGTAATACGCATACGGCAGCCAGCTCCCATTACACACAACGCAGGGCCATAAATCCGTCTGCACGACACAAGCAGCATGATGTGATTTCATATGTATTGGTTACTAAGGGGACGCACTGACCCACAACAAATGACAAAGGTTGGAACTCATTGAGTGAAAGAGAAGCCTGTAACTTAGACACAAAACATCTGGGGTAAAGTATAAAGGTTTATGTTGTGCTTTCTCTATCAACAGCCATCATTTTAAAAACAGATATATAACCCGTGGCATTTAGAGAGAAAACCAGGCCAGTTGAAATCAAACCTGTAATATCAGCAGATTAATCTCATGACGTAGAGTAAAATGGTAACCTGATCTTGTTATGCTGAGATACTAGCAGGTGAGGAAGATGGGTGGTGTTACAGCCGTTTACCAATCAGGAGAGTGAAATTAAGATGCTCTTTGATTGGTTTAAAGTAAGGAGAATTTGCTGCTCTACTCTAACAACAACATCTGGTTGGCAGGGGACAGTGGTGGTGAGTGAAGAGAAGGAAAGGGATTGAAATGTGAGAAGAGAGGAGAGTGCTTAACTCCTACATGGGAAAGAGACGAGCCGAAGCCAGAACAGGGTGTCATTATGACATGTGTAATTGAAACGCTCTGGTTCTGCCCCTGTGTTTTCTAGTGAAGCCCCAGAGCCTTATCACATGAGGGCCAGCTTTCATATTCACAGCGCCTTATAGTCTGCCTGACAATCACCTCTGTCTCTGCAGTGACCCCAGAAACATGTCTGCAGTGCCTCACCGTTCATACAGCAAGAAGCAAGAGTTTGACTTGGGGGTCACACTTGATCAACCTCACTTGATCCGTCCCTCTGTCTCAGTGTCAGGTTTGTAAGACCATCCCATAACCTCAAGGTCACGGTTTCGATTTATCAGTAACCATCTGTCTTACACCTACTACCTTCTCATACATTGCAAACGACTACGGATAAAAGCATCAGCTAAAAGGTACAAATTGAGAAATGTCTCCCTCCCTCTTAAACAGACACATACTCGCATATCTTTGCAAAACTGA